TAAGGATATTTTACATTTGCAAAGAATCCAAAGCATAATTCAAGGATCAAGCACATTAATAATCAACATTACTTTATAAAAGAAAAAATTAAAATAGAAGTAATTGATATGAAGTAATATGCAACAAAAGACATGTTTGATGATTTTTTGATAAAGGTATTAGTAAAAGATAGATATCACATGTTGACAAAGGTGTTAGGATTAAAAACCTTTGGCTAATAACAAAATAGGAGTATTAAAATAAATAAGTAAAAGTAAAAGTAGAATAAGTTACATTTTAGAAGATATTATCTTAAATAAGTTGCTATTAGTCAAAAGGTTGGCTCTTGGTATATAAGAAGGCCAAGAAATAAGATAGAAGAATAAACAAAGGATAAGGATATAAAGAATATACTAAAGATATATTATCATAGTAGATAAGATATTAATAGATAATCTAAATAAAATGTTGGATGGATGTATTCATCAAATGATGGAAGTTATCTATTAGAATAATAGCCACCACCTATAAGTAATGGATGATGAAATTAAGAGATATCTTATTCCATATTCTTTTTGTGAACAACCTTGCTAATGCTATGTATTCTAACTTTAAAAAAAAAAAATTAATAATAATAATAGTGGAATTATCGAATGTATAGCTTATTGCTATTGAATCAAAAACTCATGTAGATGTTTTGAAAAAAGTATAATGATAATTATATAAAATTTTATTTGATTGACAAAAAAAAAATAAAAATAAAAATAAAAATAAAAATAAAAACAAAATAAGTTTTTATTTATTTATTTATTTTCCTTCTTCTTGCAAAGGTTATCAATTTGTAAAAAAAGAATATAAAACTAATATTTTGAATAAATTTGACAAAATAAGAATAAAATTTAATTTTTTTTCATAAGTATAATTATTTATAATCTTTTATTTCTTAAGTTGTTTTAATAGATTTATCCAAATTATAGGCATGTTTTTGATAATTACTATATTAGCATAGTTTATAATCTTAAATAAGTAAATAAATAAATTCTTGATAATCTTTGAAAATTTTAATAAAGAAGCAATTGTAAAATAGAAAATTGAATAAAAAATTAATATCATGATTTGATTTGATATATAGTCTTGAATTTTAATAACTTGCATGTATATTAATTGATACAAAAAAAATTATTAAGATAATTAATTAATTAATTTTTATCTTGTCTTCATAATAATATATTTGCTTTTAACAATATAAATTGTTTAAAAATTCATTACTTAAGTAGTTTTAAAAAAATTAATTCTAATTAAGTATATCATTTTTTAAAAAATAAAATAATATACATAAAATTATTGTATTCAAAATATTAAGTTATACAGGTTTATATATAAAAAATTAAAGAAATAAAATATTATTTGATGAAACTCAATTTAAATAGTAATACAAGAAAAACACAATAGAAAAAAATCAGGAATAAACAACCTAAGTAATATAATTTGCCAAAACATATTGCTAAAGTTTCTTCTACCAAATAGAAGTTTATTAGTCAAGAATAAACATTTATTTTCATTAATCTCTTATAAAAAAACAACACTTTTTAATGACAATAAATTCCGTGTAATTAGAAAATATTAACTTATCACTAAAAATATATTATTTTTTATCTCTGAATTTTGAACGTTATTTTTAAAATTTTATTTGTATTAAAATGTAAGTTAAGAAATTCGTGTGATATTTTTAAAAACTAAAAGTTCAGTATTTGTTAATGACAAAGATTTTTTCAAGCAACAGAACCTAGAATTTAAAAAGAATGCCCTTGCAATGCTTATAGAAATCAATCATAGACAACTTTTATTGTCAAGAGATGATTCAAGAAAAACACATTTTTTTTGGAAGTAATTGCAACATAGCAAACATTTTACATTTTTTTAATGTTATTTAATATCATTAAAAACTTGTAATTCTTATATTTCTGTAGCTTAAATTATAAAATCTTATAATAACATTTAATAAAAGATAATAAAGAAAAAAATTATAAAATAAAAATACTTAAGATGTTACAAAGTTAGAATATTTACATAAAAAATTAAAATACATGCAATTAAGTATAATATTACACCACCAAGTACTTTAATCAGTAAGAACAAAAAAAATTACTTGGTCTTAAAAAAATGAATTAATAATATAACTTAAAACATAAAAAAATAAAAAAATCTATATATGCTATTATTAGAACATCAACCACATGACTGTCTAATCGTACTAAAAAAAATAAAAAAATAAAAAAATACAATCCTAATTGGCACCCATCTAATAATTATCAAAAATATAATTTGACATTTGAGGTTATTAGCAAGAATACCCATTATATTTGCCGAGAAGTATATATTTGCCGAGAAGAACATAGATCACTCTAGATAGATATCAATTATTATAAACTAAAAAAGATATATATATATATATATATATATATATTAATTTAATAAATATTAGAATAACTTAGATAAAAAAATATTTTTACAAAAAATATTAAAAGAATGTCTACAACTCATTCTAGAAATAAAAAAATGAATTAAGTAGAATATACAATTTTGCATAAGATATAGACCTTTAAATATATTTTTATATTATATAGGCTTATCAATGCACTTAGAAACTTTCAACATATAATGCGTGGTATTTTTTAAAAAATAGTTAGTTAATTTTTTAGGAATTCACTTAAATAATATCATAATATTTTATAAGAATGATGAAAATTCTAAACACAATAAATTTTTGGTATTAGAAAATCTACAAGAACAAGGAACTTATGATAAATTAGAAAAGTGTTTATTTTCAAATATTAAATTAATTTCTTAGATTATTTTATATGAAATAAAAAAAAAATCTAAAATCATAAAATTATAAACCATTATAAAACAAAAGAAACCTTTATTATTTAAGGATGTGAAATATGTTTTAAATGCAGAAAATCAATTTATATAAATAAATAAATAGATAAGTATTGTTTTAAATTAAAAATTATTAACAAGGATACATAAAACAAAACCTATAATTTACACCAAAGCATAAGACCAAAGAAGCCACAGGACATCAAATAAGATCTTTTTTTTCAACATCAATATATATGCTTACAAATCTATTGAAAAAAAATTGTTATCTTTAACAGTTAATGCATTTTGATTTGTTACTTGTCTTAGTGCTTTATTAATATTACCAATGATAGAAAAAAACAGCTAGTTCATAATAGTTTTCAATTTTTAGTAATAGCACAATTTCTTGAAGGAAATAAATGTACTTCATGAATGTAAACAAATTATGAGAACTAAGAGTATTCCATAATGACACAAGTTTTGAATCGATGACATTCTAATTAGAATATGACATTTTTTAGACTGGTTTTATAATCACATTTTATCAAAAAAAATACAAAATAAAAAATACTCGTATTTATAAAATATACTTGATACAAAAAAATTATAAAATATTAAATTGAAAAATAGATATTATAGAGAAATCACAAAAATAAAAAATAATTACAATAATAAATCTTGTATTGAAAAAATTTAGATTAATTTTTTTTAAATAATAATAATAGTTGTGATAGTAATGATAATAATTATTATTATTAATCTCAAAGTAAAAATAAAAAATCTTTAATTTTTAATTGTATAAGCTTGATTTTTTGTGTTTTTAGATTATTTTTCTAAAATAATATATTTTACTTCCTAAAATAAGACTACCTATGGTAAATAAAAAAGATAAAAAAATTTCTTGAGAATATTTGTTTAATTTTTAGACTTTTACAAGCCAGTATTTTAGATCAAAGACCACAATTTGGACCCCTTTTAATAAAATAGCTTTTAAATATTAAAATACTTAATTTAATTTAATTTAATTATCTGAAAATATATGGTTAAACAGATTGTATCAACCAAAATTTAGGGTATTATCTAAGTTATAATATTATATATATATATATATATATATATATATATGTGTACACAGGTATCCCACTAGCAGAAAATAAAATTGGTTTTTTTATATATATTTTTTGTAAAAAAATATTATAAATGATATATTCAAATATATAATTAGTATTATATAATAAATGTAAAACTAAAATAGATAAAGATTAATAATTTTTTAATTACATTTAAATTTCATGATTAATTTACAATCAATATAATATTGTTAGTTATAAATGGAACTTTCATTTATAGCTATCAATATTGTATGCTAATAGAAAGTTGAAGATTACGTGATGTAAATTATGTCTATGAAGTAGCTCTGAGAAAAAGATATTTCTTGACATTATTATAATAAAAAGAGAATGATTGAAGGGCAATGTTAGTTTCTTCTTTTCTTTTTCCTTTTATCTACGTATTAGTTATTATTGTGCAATTTTTAGAATATTAAATTGAATCATCTTTACAAAATCTAAAACTCTAATTTTCAATTTTTCAATTTTTATTTGTAGGAATTAGTTGACCAACCACAACAGTTTTCTCATTCTTTGCAATTTTCACATTTAAGATGAAATATGGGCTTTTGAAATCAAACACAATCTTGTTGTAAGTAATTTTGGCATTGAAATCTTTATAACAATGTGAAATCTTGATTATACCATGAAAAATTGGTGGCATTAAATTAGTTGTTTTGACATATAATATATAGCGTGATATGATATAAAAAATTAAACTTGAACCCACATGATACTCTAGGGCTTGAGAGATTCACATAATACACAAGCACACATTCATCAGCAATGGAAAAAAAACAAAAAAACAAAAAAAACAACCAAATTGGCGAGACTGGTATCGACGCCATTGCGAGCTTTGTGTTGGGAGGACACTGGGTTGCAATTTGTCACTATCCTCGCAGACTGCTTTATCGTGGGGTTTATGCCCCCCCCCCCCCGCAAGGTGCCACTTTTGTTTCTACGATTGCTGCCACGTCTCTTGATGAATCTCACAAGGATCATGGTCTGATGAAGTTTGTGGAGAATTTTATGACATAATCGCAGCCCTTCACTTATCCTTCTCCTTTAAGAAATCCATGCATCGACGATCACCTGCATTCTGCGAGTGTCACGCTCGCTTTTTTCTCATCCCTGTTCTTTTGCATTTGTGCATCATCGCTTTCGCAATTGCAATCGCATTGTTTCTGCGTACACCGCGATCTCCGGCTCCGTTCTAGAGCATTTGGGTCACTGATGGGTGCCAGCTGATGCTGGCAGAGACTAGGGGGAGTTTTGAGAATTAGATTTTGATGCAGATGGGCATGATGCTCGCTTCCTCGCATCCCATTCTTTCGTTTAGGTTTCCTTTCGAGTCGTCTCCCCAGCTGCACGGGACGTATCACCACTCAACGAGAGATTATATTCGCTGGTCACGATCTGGGTCAAGTGGTGCACAATGTGAGTGTACTAGGACAGTGCGACGCCACGAGTTCTCTCCTGCCCTTATCCTACGTTCGAGGTCACTGAAATTGTCCCAGGGCGTGGAGAATTCGGTGAGTTGCAGCGCGATGGCTAACTCGTTTTCTCCGAGTAGGTGAGATGGGCATCCTTTACGCGTTTCGTGATGAATTCTGAGCGACGTGAGTGAGACAGTGTGAACACGTCGCTTTGGAGTTCATTTTAGAAGTTGATGATTTTTTATGTTTTTTTTCCCCCTATCGGCCCTAGACTAGCAGGAAGGTTGTTTGGACCGGGAGAAGAGGGGGAGGATTGGTGGGATCACAAATGTGTGTTCCATCCTGTTGTTGTGAGGGAGCCATCGTCGTCTACATGGAGGATGTACTACTACGGCCGCGATGGGGACAATTGGTCGTCTGGAGTAAGGCCGGCTTTGTTGTCAACTGGTCGTGTGGGGCTTGCCCTTTCGGAGGATGGTGTGCACTGGAGTCGCCACAGAGGCCCGTTGCCTCAAGGAGCCATACTTGATCCGGAAGAAGGAGGCGACACTTTCGACTCTGTGCATGTTGGCTGCAGTGATGTCCTCTTCCACGATGGTACATGCACAGCTCTTTTCTATGCCTGTCATTGCATTCTCTCCAATTAGCTAATTAAACCCTGAACCTGCTTACATTTTCGTTGTTGCAGGTCAATGGTGGATGTTCTACTTCGGTGGGTCAGCCGAGAAGATGGAAATCGGACCCAGCAACAAAGCTCTCCAAGGCCTCAGGATGCTTCCAGGGCTTGTCAAATCAGCTGATGGCGTTGTCTTCGACCGCGCGTTGTTCACAGGAAACCCTCTACTCAATGTAGGACTGCAGAATGAGTGGGACGAATTGTTCATTGCGTGGCCGAGAGTGCTTCCTCCGAGTAGCAGACATCGCTGTCAAGATCCATCAGACGAGGATAAAACTTGGTTGATGACTTACAGCTCCATTGAGAAACAGACCCTCCCTTTCTCATCAATAGGCGTTGCACTCTCTGCCGACGGACACAAATGGTTTAAAGCAGGAAAAGCATTGACACGAGGAGCGCCTGGTTCGTGGGACGAGGGTGGAGTTGGCCGCAGGCACGTACTCTTGATCGACAACGAGTACTTCATGTTTTACGAGGGCGTCAATAATAAAGGCATTCATGGAATTGGTCTTGCAATCTCACCAGATGGGATTCATTGGGAGAGAGACCCACTCTGCCAAGGCCCAATATTCTCTGCTCGAGTTGGCGAGGAGGTTTGGGACAACGGCACAGTTGCAGCCCCTCATGTTTTGCAAATGGACGACGGCAGTTTTCGAATGTACTATGTTGGCACAAATGATACAAAGACAGAGAGTGCCATGGGGATGGCAATCAGCAAGGGGAAAAATTTCAGGACATGGACTCGGATACAAAATTGGTAGCAACTTCGTGAATTCAGCAGATGTCTATCTTCCCCAGTTACTATGGGAGGGAACAAGGACAGGATACAAATTAGAATTGACGCTGGAAGCATTATGGAACTCTTCCATTTGATTCTTATTAACTAATATACCTTGTTGTACATGGGTGTAGCTAAAATACAATACGTATCTTTTTACTTGGATTTCATGAGTTGAAGGCCGCGATGTCAATATCCCACACCCAAAGTTGCAATATATATATATATATATATATATATATATATATATAAAATAAGAGATGAAATAAAATTAAAAACTTCCTCGCTCTCATTGAATGCAATGGGCACTCAAGGAAGAAAATTATCGGGTTGAGAGTAGCTCGCAACAATGCCAGAGATAGAGGAGTAAGTCCCCAACACCAGACAGATGAACCCTATTAACATCACCATAACACAGAAAAATATCTGTGACACACATGAGCTGCCGTTAGAATGTCGGTCAAGCTATATACGAACAGGACATTCAAATGTGAAGAAAGCAACACTGATAATTCTACGTACTACTGATATTAGCTTAAGCATCCAAATCCTACTTAAGCAGATTCACATGTTGAGTCGCCAGAAAACTAGAGAACACATGAAGGCTAGGAATATATTAAAGATGCACCCTTTTTCTTCCATGAATTACTAGGAGTTAATATGAGAAAATTCACCTGAATCATCGATATTTTCTTGCCGAATATGGCGAGGAAGCATGCACAGGGAAGAATTAAAGACTGTAATCCAACGCCAAACAAGATGTCATCATACAAACATCAAAAGTTCAAATGTACGAGATTTGTGCGGCTATGCCTCAGAGCGGGTATTACAAGCCCTATGCATCAACGATTGATATATAACCACGCATGACTTTTTCACGAATTCTACTATTCAACTTTCGTTCTTCCACTCATGCTAACAAATAGAAGAATACATCAGACTGTTCACACAAGAAGATTCTCCAATCAGCTCTCCAATCAGCTCATTTTCTAGTCACGAACTTTCCTAGCAGTCATCTATATCTACGGGATTGCAGGTTATAAATTACTCACCACAGTCATACTAAGGAAGGAACCTATGAAGGCCATCACATAGCCTGAAACCCAGTATTATCAAAGCCAAGGTTAAAAAAATCATCAGAATCTTTCTTAGGATAGGTTGTGTATGTCTTCTGTGCAGTAAGTCATGAAAAATGCAGCAAAGCTACAATACTTGTGTCGAGAAGGAACAACATAATTGTTAATTAAACCAAAAGTCTGCTTGAACAGAATATAAATTTCGGCTGAAGCAGGTCCACACTTCACGATGTGGTTGGTATGATCCAATTCATTAACAACCACTAAATCGATTCGCTCTCTCAGTTTCTTTTTTCAACAACAAAAGTGACATAAGGAAATAAGTCAGATATACCCACCAAAAAACGGAACTAGGACTGCCACACCAATAGTAGAGACCACAAGCGCTGTGCGTATAAAGATTGATGAGGACCGATGCTTCAAGGAGTCGGGGCTATGCGGCAGTAGTTCCTCCAAACTCAGTGCCACTGGTGTCATAGTTAATGCAAATGTGCTTTCTTCAAGTTAAGGATCCACGCTAGAATTTTTTTTTTTCAAGTATCGACACACCCTCTACAGCACTTATGCTTATCTTCAGGGTCAGATTCTCTGAAGGTGACCATTAAGTAATATTCTGAGGACCTTCCTATAAGATTCATCACGGCAAGCCGTGCACACGATCTGATTTGTTTGCACTGACTTGCACATGGAAACGCTACATGATTTCTACGGTTTTACATCTTTGAAACAAAATCAGCGAGACACGACTCATACGTTGACTGGACATGTAAACTTTGTCGAAAAAATTCAGACTGACTTAGAAGAATTTATTAAAAGGATATTTCGTAAACGGGTTCACCACCTGTGCAACGCCCACCAAAATCATCGCTGTTAATATCATAATTATCCTCTCCAGAGCATAAATACATGTTGATAGCCTGTCATACATTATTTTCTTACTGGTGGCTAAAGCCGGTCTTGTAAAATGCTACGTGGTAACTATAGTGAAAATGAACCCACAGAAGCAAGACAGTAAAAATCAAGAGAAGACGCACTGGAAAAGATTGCTCACCGTGGTCCAAACAGCTATTTTGGAAGCCAGAAATTGCTTGGGCAAATTAAGGGTGATTTGAGACGCAGTATCTGCTCCAAACATTTTGAATCCCAAGACGGCCATTCCAGCATAAAGAAGCGTGCACAATATGAAACTGCACTTCAAGGCATAAAAACGGTCTTATTATTATCCTCGCGTCCTTCAGATACTCGAAACACAACAAAATAAGACGATCTACCTTAATTAAATGCATAAACAGCAGAGCCACATAATCATTGCAGGGTTAGGTGTAGAACAATGATTCTAGGTTGACATAGAAGCGCACCTCACACCTAGAACTTTGTTGTAGTCATTCCTATTCCGCAATGACGAATAAATGTTCGGGAACACAGCGTGTCCGGAATAACAAAAGCCAAACAGGCCAATAGATACAGGCAAACCAGATAACTTGAAGAGAGGCCCCGTTTCATAGAACCCAACACCATCAATCGCACCAACCCCGACCACTGAAAATGCCACTACCATAGATGCTATAACGCCTCCAGCTGCACCCATAATTTGTTGCAATTCCACGCAGGTAAACAAGTGGAGCATCAATCTATTAATGCATTTACACAGCAATGTCTTCGACCCAAACGTTCATGTGAGCAGCAATAAGAATACCGCCAACATTATGCAAGCCAAAAAGGGTAAAGGTTTCAGTAAGCCAAACCTGAAACATAGGACAAGTAGCTAAGATCCCGTAACCATACTGTAGGTAGTACGAACAATGCTGTGAGGACGGAAAAAACAGTTTTGGAGTCGAAATGAACGCCCGCTACGGATAAATGTGCCCCGGGGAAGAGAGCTGATAGATTGTCTCCTTCCAGAATTAAGAACTCCACACAACATGCCTGAGCACAATCCATTCACCCAAGTAAACCAGCTTGTCAAGTCCAACTTAACCCTATCCTGACGAAGAGTAAAACTCTTTGTAATCATGTACTTAATCAACCACTAGCATGCACAAGATGTGCCATCACAAACGACATATTTTTCTACAAGTAACACTGGAAACCACCGTCTCATGCAACCGAATTAATTTGAGTGAATTAAATTTTATGAAGGTAATCGCAACAGTAGAGCCATTTAACGACAGTATGCTTACGTATAGCTCCGTGTAAAGAATAATCTGCACGCAGCCATAAAGAGTGATAAATTAGTCAAGAATAAGCATGGTCCTGGTGACAGAGCTCCGTCAACACAAACAGCCAGCTCATCCTAGCACGATCACCAGTGCGCTCGCAAAGCTGGCGTTTCTTCAGTTCAGCACTCCTGAGTTTCTATGTCGTGCACGGATAAAGCACATTTACCTCATCTTTAACCAACCAAAATGATTTAAGGCTAAAATTTGGCATGTCACTGGAAAAAACAATTGAGACTGCATCACTCCGAAGAACAGTTTCAACGACACATTAACATTTATCCAGGATTGCAAGACTCACTGAGATGATAATCCGTCCAGTATTACCAAACGCGGCCTGTCCAATATCCGGATACGTAGCTAGACCTGGTTCACTTTCCAAGCATCGTCGAAGAAGAATTCCAGTATAAAAGCAAAACAGTGAAAGTAAACACAGGTAGACAACAGCAACCCAGCCTGCTTCCTTCAAAGCGTAAGGAGTGGTCAAAACTCCCACACCTGCCAGCACGTTCATTCCTGCACATATAATTTCTACCATTTAAGAATAATCATAACAACAACAATAACAATAATGATAGTAAGAAGAAGAAGAAGACGAAGAAGAAGAAGAATGGCAGTACAATATAAGAAATAGGCAAAGAATCAGTATTGGAAAACCATGGATTTATTAATCCACCTCCTAGAGATTCTCGGAAACAGCAATGAGCGCGCTAAATAATTAAAGCATTCTACCACGTTCAAGAATGGTGGCATTCAGTTAAGAGCGAGAGCGCGCATTCAAAAAATTAAAACAGATAACAAGGTAGGAAAACAAGTGAATAAATGAAATGAGGAATAGCATACAGCCTGTCAATTAGTGGATCATGAGAAATGACTCAAGGTGCAAAAATTCACAAATAAGTAAGGAGTATAATCAGACACCCACCATTGAAAAGTCCTTGTAAAAAGCTACTTCCAGTTGGTTCAGGCTTTTCAACCACGTAGACAGAATCCGACTTCACGAATTGATCCTCAAGTTTTCGGACTGGGTCGGAATAAGGTAACACATAATCCTCCTTTTTCTCTTGGTCCTGGAGAAACGGAATCTTCAGGGGCTGTGTACCTAGGGTTGGCTCATCTCTGTGATCTGAAGGAAACTTTTGGTACGAAGACGCTAAGTGGGAAGAACTGAGACGATGGTGTAGCCCTGGGCTAAATAAGCTAATGCTGGGGGATTGTAACGTGCTGTACATATCCATGGACTGCCTGTAAAGACCACAATTTCCATGCAACATTATCAATTGTTGAGTTATAACTAAAGGTGTGGCACAATCAGGCCCTACAAAAGGCTAAATGTCAGCCACAAACCCTCCAGTTAAATGTCTGAAACCAGAAATGAAACATCATACAGAACACTTATTCACCAAGGACAGTATGTGAAAGATTTTTTTAAAGGAAATTAATTTTAAATATAAAGGAAATCGGCCCTGCTAATCAAACACGTCTATTCTAAAGCGGTGTTTTTTCGTACAATCAAGAGGGACCCACAAGTTTGAACAGACTCGTATCCTCGATAACGATCAAGAAATCCACATAGCAAATTCTCGCACGGCAATGGAGCGGCATCGAGTTCCCAAAACTACTGGAAGGTCACCAAGCTCACTGCCTGCGACTAATGGGAATCTAAATTTTCATAAATTTGTAACCCGATGTTGGAATCCTCCAACGGATTTATCAATGAAGCTGACGATCTAATTGCTTTAAAATCTAAAGGTCTTCATCCGAGATGTCGGAAAACACCAGCTCACAAGCTGGCGAGCGCAATATAACCGGTTGATGGCACAGAATACTACAGAATTATTCGACTCTCGAACGCAACGTAGACAAAATCTACAGAGAAAATTCTCTCTATTTCGATCAGTGAACCACGCACCAAATTTAACAATGACTGCAGGATGTTCATGTTCCCCCCCATAACCACTGCAGCCATACTCCACAAAAACAAAGCCCGTGATTTACACCTGCACAGGCTTCAAATCTCCGAAGTGCCTAACACCTTTCACAAATTATCCCAGGAGGAACTACGTAGGGCTACGACCTTGCACTGATTAGCCAGGCGCTACATGCACCACTTGAATTTCACGTCAAACCTGTTTTCGAACATAATCGAGCAGTCAACCAACATGCTCACAATCACCACTAGCTCTAACTTCTACTGCACCACATTCCGATTCCAACCGCCAAAAAAAAATCTGTAGAACTTGGAAGTACACTTAAACTGCAGTCAAATCAGAATCTGGTAGCCAGAAAAGGCTCCCCGAAATTCAGTCCCGTTGGTGACGCTTCATGCAAGGCACAAAGGAAAGAAAGGGGGTGGAAATAGAAGTAGAGCTATCTCAGCTCTACTTCCTTGCGCGAACCAAACAATCTCTCAAACCAGCTATCGCAAACTCTTCAAAAAAAAAAAAAAAAAACACTAACGACGAAGAGCTAAAAGAACATCTCAAACCCCCACAAAGCGCAATCTACAGCGAACTCCCACACAAACAACCAACTAAACAAAACGAAAAAAACACAAAGAAAAACCAACCCAACAATCTGGTTCACCTGTAACTCTGAGGCCAGAGGGGCACGGAGCCACTGGTTCCGCCCCTTGCATCACCCTCCTCATTGTCCTCCGATCCAGACTCCGATCCCGATCTCGATTCATCCTCGCTCTCTCCTCCCGCCTCCTTATCAGCCCAGTAAGGCACTTTCTGCGACCGCATTGCTTCCCCACTTCCTCCTCCCTCTCGCAAAACTCTCAATCTCCAACGCACTCCCCCTCACAAACTCACAACCCGAATCTCGCTTCCTTTCACGAGCACGTCCTCCTCATCTTCTTCTTCTGCCTCTGCCTCTTCACCAACTCCACTTGCAGCTCCACTGGCTGCCCCGCTCGTCCCTTGTCGCCGCAGTCCATTCTCTGAAATTACTCTCGTACACTGATACGGTCTCGTATTCTCTCTCGTACCGCATGTTTTTAGCCAGTTCCAGCTGGCTCTTCACGGTGCTTTTTCCCATGGTGGGTCCAGGTATCTCCCAGTTATCTGACAACTACAAACCCAACAACGCATACGGACACCAGTCGCAATTTCCCTAAATTGTTTACATCAATTTGTTCCGCTGCTGAATCGAGCAAGGCGTTGGCACGGATTATTGCATCGCTCTCTAAAGCGAGGAATCTACTGAACGGCGCAGATCGGGCCTCCCTGTATGTAGGAAACCAGCGCAGAATCTGCAACCCCAGCTCGGTCATTGTGCAATTCCAATGCCCAGCAGCAGCATAATCGCCACCAGCATCACGTAAAACCGCACGACAGCACCCTCACACACTCACTCTCCCTTCAAATCTACAAACAAACCCACACGGGAAAACAGGTTCCTCTACAGTGCTGGAAAAATCCAACTCCCACACCTTCTCTTTCATAAGCATCGCTAAAACTCAGTGTTTGTTTGTTTGATTGTTGGTTGTTTGCTGCGCTTACAACAACGGGAGGCCGCAGAAATCAGTCGTGGAATCTAAACTTACCAACAAAGTTTTATGTTTTTTTTTTTTTTTTTTTTTTTTTCGACTGAAACTGCGAGTGATTTTGTGACGCTATCTCACTGTTTTCGGCTTCGGCATCGATTCCCAGGAAGAAATAGAAGAAACATGAGCATGAGGACTGACCGACTCCAAGGAAGGATCCATGCAAAATTGTTCCTCCATGCATTCATTCTTACTGTTTCGATGTGGCTTTATTATTAGGTCATGCTTTATTATTATTGTAATTGATTTTGTTTCTGTTTTCTTTATCTTTTTCCAGGCTATGGCTTGGTCAGTAAAGAGCTTTGGGAGGCATGGGGGGGGGGGGTCCTAATTCAATAAAGGGACTCATCACATGTGATTCATGCTTTAGATGGCTACACAAACTGGGTCTGCTTACCTGGCAGTAATACCCCACTAACCCATGCATGATGCAGCCTTGTGTGTTTATATTCTTATTACCCATGTGAATAATAAATTAAAAGGAAACAAAAAACAACATCTTATCCTTGTGTTTGAATTCAAGTAGGGGGCTTCAATGTGGTAGTTACTGGTTTTTATTATTATTTATTACGATCATTTTATAATGATATGGATAATGTCCAAGGGGATGATGGGCCAGTTTTTACTTGGATCATTTATTTTATATTTTTATTATTATCATCAATTTGCACTGTGTTCACTGTCGAGTCCCCACATACAGTGCTGTTGAGCTGTTGAGGCCACAAGTGCCGCTGTTTCAGAATCCATCCATATGATACTGGACCACCTGGTTGACCACCACTTTGTCCTTTTTGGTATAGCAACCCTGTTTTTGAGGAGGCTCCACTTTGGGGCTGCAGCTTTGCACTGCAAGCAAACAAAAGTTGGTCCTGCCAGTTTAATTTTATGGTTTGTGTTTGTGCATCACAAGAATCTGGTGTTCCTTCCTAAATCACACACAATTTTGTCAGTTTGGACAAGGAACGAGGAAAAAGCCATTTCGGGCTCCAATCATAAAATTAGATGCCTCAATGGCCTATGCCTCTTCTTTCTTTCTTTCTTTCTTTTCTTTTCTTTTTCCTTCTTTATTCTGTATTAAAATGTGGGACCCAATTTTGGATTTATTATTCTGCCAACTGGGTAAGTATTGTTGCAAGATGACACACAACAGTAACCACTAACTATCCATCTACCCATCCATTTTGATCCCTTTGTTCATTCATTCAATCATAGTAATGTGGATTCCAGTAGTTATTTAGGAAACATTCTTTTGGCCAAAATTCCATTGGGGAGTGAGCGAGCACACGGAAGAGGTGTTGGATGGGGTGTGCGCATGCCAGCTAGGACAGCCAGGTCAGCAGGGATATGTATTGGAATCCAGTTCCATCATTTGCTGACATGGCAACACCTACTTGTCACCATTTAGCTGCAGAGCACATCAATACATCCATCTTTCTTTCATGCCCAATTTGTGGGTAATAAGAAATTTTGTTATCCTTGGAAACAAGGGATATGGTCTTTTATTCCCATGTGTGTGTGTGTGTGTGTAGAAGGCCCCATAGTCCCTCTAAATTGTGATAAATCTTATTCCTCACAACCTCACATGGAGTACAATTGTGATCTCGAACTCTCTTTCCTTTACTTCGTTCATGAGTTTAATGAAAAAAACAAAGAATACATGAGAAGGGCTATGCAGTAACTTGGGAAAGAAAAATGGGCCTTCATGCCACTGACTTTACTTCTATTTGTTGCTTTGCCCCATGCAGCAACTTATTTTACAATATATATATATATATATATAAATGTTTTCAACTCTTCAAGCATTTAAAAGGAATGCAGGACTTAAGTTGTCTGCCCCAGCATATGTCTCCCTTTCCTTCTCTTTGTCTGACATTTAATATTGGCTTCACAAAGGACTTTGGTTCTGGGAAACGTTAGCTTTTGAGGGGTTTACCCACTTTTCTTTGCTTTGAGCAAAAGAAAAGCTGAGATTGAAAAGGCACGGCAGAAAGAAAGAAAAATGAAAAGAAAAAGAAAAAGAAAAATCCATTGGAACGTCTCAATAGTTGATGAATATGTTTTTTTTTTTTAATTTTCAATCTTAACTATTATCTATTAAAATTGTGGTTTGTTTAATTGTAGTCAAATTTATATTTGGAAAATCATGAGATTTGAAATGTTGACTCTGAAAGAAACCAGAGAAACTTTAAGTAGTTGATGTTCTTATTTGGAGAAATTTCATTTGATTTGAGCAATTGAGGTTACATGTTGATAATAAAAAAATTACCAATATCTTTGAGATCAAAATATTTTGAGGCTAATAGAATGTTACAAATAAAATAAAATAAAATAACAATTATGTGATTAAGATTGTGTGTATGGTATCAGATCGTATGGATGTGGTTGGTGTATACTTTTTAAGTGAAGATTTTAATTTCTACAGTAAATTAGAAGGATAATTTTTTAAACAAGTATAAGAATCTCAATGCGAGGTGGGATACAATAAGTATTTATTTTAGTAATTGATATAAATTTCGACATTTAATTGCATGATTTTGAACTTATTTTTTTCCTTCAATGCAAACTCTTGCTATCAATATCAAACGTAACATCACCATCTTTAGTATTTTGCTTGTCACCTACAAACCAAGGCATACCAAGATTAATTTTCAAAAAATTTACTAAAAGTTGTTAAGAAGATATCAGTTTTATCCATTCTTATATTGGAATTTCTATTGATTAATATTTTATGAATAATAAAAATAATGAATATCTTAACCAAGTTTTTAAAAATATAATACCGTGACTATAATTATTAATACATTAATGTCAAAATAAAAATTATATTGTATAGCTCATTGTTCCTTACATTAAATTCATTTATTATCCAATCAATGGAATTTGAAAAACAATTATCATACAACATAAAGTTTGTAATGAAGGAAAAATAAATCTTATCAATCACAACATGTTTCAATATTCATGTTCTAAAGGAATACTAAAATCATCAAAATAAAATTCAAACACATAAGAAATGGAAACAAATGTGCATATGAAAAATAAATATACTTTGCATTGACTTATACTTTGTAGTGATATATATCATGTAATTACACACACATGTAATTAATGCTTTATACTTGGAAGTGATGCTTCATTACATTTATTGTTTAAAATTTTTAAAATCATCACATTTTACACCATTTCATACATTTATTCTAATCCAAGTATTATTCATTAAACTTGGAACTTTATTTTAAATCTAAATTTTCCACGTTGCACTGATAAGCCAACTTAAGCCTTTCTTAGTTCTTCACTAAAAGATACACACTATACTTTCCTCAGTGGAATCATTCACAATCAGGAATGGATTGATTTTTTTTGCTCCAACCTGGCTATTGGTGTTGAAATCTCTATTAAATCTGGCTTAGATGTGTGACTCCATTTTGTAAAGCAACTTCAATTTGCTTGCACAAAAAAGTCACATTTCTTGTTTTTGTTATTGTTCTTCTAAGGGTGACCTTGCAGAGCTAGTTTTAAATGCATGTTAAATGATAAAAATTTTAAAATAAAATCTAATAGCGGAATCTTGGTAATGTCTAAGAATTTGAAATATTATTATTTTATTGATTTTTTTATTAAAATAATCCATAAAATCACTGTAGGATATTTAAAATTTTATCCATTCCATCCCACAATGCAATGAACATGTTCTGTGGAATAGTGGCCATGAAAATAGACATAAGTGAACACTCCACTTTTAAAGCACCCAACCTTGAAGCATCAAAACATGCGGTATATGGTGTCCCTGCAAAGCATTTCTCAATCTACTGTTCACTACTTTTACTGTCCATTGTATTATATTTAGAAACTAACCCACATGATCTATCATGGTGTGAAGCTTTCATGCACAACAAAGAGCAGTAAACAAAGCTTCTAAAATTCTTTACAGAGTTGCAAATACTAGAAATAAGAGGGAAAAAAAAAAAAAAACAAACAAACAAACAAACAAAACAAAACAAAACAAAGAAGAAGAAAAAGTCTTGATTTCCAACTGTCCCAACAGCCTAGCTCACAAGCTCCACAAAATTAATATATATATATATATATATATGTATTATTTTGTTTTTTAGGAATTTTAATCAGTCTAGTCCATGTTGAGGATGAGTGTAATCCTCACGAAGCACCATCCACAAAGCATGTCAAGTTCAACTGGTTTTCATTATTCCAGTGGGTTGATGCCAAAATGATGCCAAAGAAATTGTCACTCTCCATGACAAATGATTGTCTCATGGGGCTTGGTATTCTTGACTCAAGCAGCAGCAGGCTTGTCTACCACATTTCATTTATTTGTTTTAAAATTTATGTATTTAATTGACTATCAGTGTGGTACAACATGTGACTAAAGTGCCATGTGATTCTCAATATT